GCGACGGTGTTAGCTGGTGCTTGCGGGTGTGACGCGGGAGGGAGGCCCGCGCTTCCCCCAGCCCGGGCCGCTCGGCTCCTCGGGACGCGGGGCCCTGCGTCCCAGCCCCGGGAGACCCAGCCCTTCTGGTGCCGCTGTCAGCCGGCGTAGGAGCCCGGCCCCAACCTCAGGTGGTGGCTGTGAGGAGAAGCGGCCGGGAAAGGGAAGTGTCTCCTGAGCGCGCCTGGTGGCAGAGCAGTCTGCCATCGCCATCGTCTAAAGCTCTGACCTTTTCCTGAGCTGAATCTGAAGAGCTCGGTGTGAGCCGCTAGGGAAACAGGCAGGGCATTGTGTGGTTTTGCAGATGTGCTTTATGCAGATCTGCGGGTTTTGAGCTTAAATGTTTGGTAGAAGCACATCTGTCAAAACATATTCTAGTGCTTTAGGATATGTTCATTTTCATACGTGAACAAAGAAGAGTTTATTGAACCTGTTCCCCTCTCCAGCAGAGCACAACAGAAAGCTAGTGTCATGCAGATGAAAGAGGGTACAGGTATAATAACTACTTTCAGACCACTGGGTTGTTTCCTTCCAGTTTTTCTCTCTTTCTTCTAGTTAAAAATGTGTGGCAGCCTTACCTTCCATGCTTTGTTTGCTTTTAGTGGCCAGACAGAATGGCTCCAGTGAACCAGTCAAAGGACAAGAAGCATGAGAGGGCACATGAGCATTGGCTGGAAGAGGCAAGATCAGCTGGGAAGAGGAAAGCAGACTACAAGGAGCTAGGGAATGAACCACTGGCAAAGAAGTTGTTTCTGAGAAAAATGTCCAAAGCCCCCAAGAAAATTGGTAACATTTCCTCAGAACCTTACTGTTTCTTCCAACCAGATTTAGCCTAAATGACAGGCATCAACTAGTTGAAGAGGGACAATGCCAAGAGGTGTGTTCAGACATGAGTGTTCAGATGGAGTTACATATTGAAGTGATCCACAGACATATATTGGGGTAGTAAATCGTCCAGTCACCTTTCCTAGCGAGTGTGTGCATGTGCACATGCTTCATTTTTGAGACTCTGTACCCCTTGATAGGAGCCTGCTGACTGAAGATGTTGTCAGAGCTCATTTGAGGGTGGTTAAGTTTTGTGGAATTCCTGAATTACCAGATGTATACTTCAGTGTAGGACAGAACAATCCTGGTAATACATGTTTTTTTCTCCCATAAAATTCTCAATGCATTTTGATCCAACCAATCATAAGGTTGGTACCCTGCAGCAGTCTAAACTGGCATTTCCACCAGTTTCTTTGCATATTGTAACTTGTGATACAGTAAGTTGGAATACTTCTCTGTTCAAATTTATGACAAAACTTCCACAAATTACTTCTTGTGGTTTGTTTGTTGTTTTTTTTCCTTTAGTATGTAAATAAATAAAAAAATCTGTTAAAGGATTTTGATATAATGAGAACAAGTTCTAAGATACTGTAAAAGTTAATTCTTTGCATTATCAAGGAAGTCCTGCAGGCTTCAGCTACAGTAAGGACTATTTTCTTAGAATCATAGCATCATTTATGTTGGAAAAGATGCTTAAGACCACCTGTTAAGTCCAACCATGCACATAACTCTGCCAAATCCACCACTAAACCATGCCTTTAAGTACCACATCTACATGTCTTTTAAATACTTCAGGGATGGTGACTCAACCATGTCCCTGGGCAGCCTGTTTCAATGCCTGACAACCCTTTCATTGAAGAATTTTTTACTAATATCCAATCTAAACCTCCCCTGGCACAACTTGAGGCCTTTTCCTCTTGTCCTATCACTTATTTGAGAGAAGAGACCAACCCCCACCTCTTTACAACCTCCTTTCAGGTAGTCTCTTCTCAGCCTCTTTTTCTCAGATAAAAAACCTTTAAAGCCATTGTTTGTTTAGAAAATCACTAGAGTTATTGCCTTGTGTGGCAATATTACACACTTCCTGTGCAGTTCTGTCCTTTAGGATCTAGAAATTACGGAGGTGTTTTTCAACAGTCATAGGTACGGAAGTGCTGTGATTTTGTACATTTCCATTGTCTGGTGTATAATTCCAAACTTGGAGCAGTTGGTAGTGTGAACAGTGGATGTGGAGAAAAAATACTCCGTTTGAAAGAAGTTCTGTGTATAATTGTGGATTTTTAAAGTATCTTCTGTAGTTAATTTAGCCACATAATTTTCATTCTAACTTTATGGACTGATTTTCAGATTTGTTCAGCATCTGCAGTTCCTGTACGATCAGAGGGAACTGGATGTAGCTAATACTTGGGAAAAAATGAGGCAAATAATATTTTTCCCTTAAACCTTTTTTTAAAAAGATTAAGTCCTTTGCATTTGTGCTTTGCTATAGTTTGGATTTCTAAGTGCTTTGAAAAAAAAGGATTTTTCTCTCCTGAGCCATATAGGACAGATACATTTTCTTGTCACTGAAACAACTTTTTGAAGGGTTTCTTCAGCAGATTCTAAAAAGGCCTAAAATTTGTTTCTTAATAAATTACCCTTGGTAATAAAAAGGACTTTGGAAAAAACACCTCAGTTTCCATCACCTCTGAAGGCAGAACTGTGGATGCTCATTCTTCTGTGAAGGAATTAGAATATAAATACTTTTGTACCTATTTCAACAGGTGTGACAAGTGTTGGTACTTTGTTGGCATGTGAACAAAGAAGTTTATTTGTGCATTTCTGGGCTCCAGCATTGCATTAAAGAAAATTTTTAATTTAGGTTCTAATCATATGGAATGATTCCTATGTTTTTGATCTTCTGGATTTTTTATAAATATCCTTAAATGAAAATAGCATTTTTGTTTTTAGGAAACGCTTCTTTCCCATTTGATGTCTTAGATTCCCTGGGGTGTTACGGACCCATTGCCATGGGGATGATCACAGACACAGGACTCAACTAAGCCATTTTTTATGTAAAGGTCCCTGAAGATAAAAACTTGGAACAGGAACAAAACGTAGAAGCATGCTGTCCTCTCAGCAAAAATCCCTCCGAACAGAAAGGTTTCCAGGCGATGAGGTGTCAGCAAGTCTATTATCACAAACAAAACTCTCAGTGCTGTAGGCAGAGTGGACAGGCTACAGCACAAGCAGATGGAAAGTTCTGATTCACTAGCAGGCATTTCAGGAACTGTGTGGGAGCTCATGTTGCTACGCTCGGGGAATTTTCAGGTGTTAACTTTTCATCTGGTCACACGTCTGACCTTCCCTTTGCTGTATCCAGGGCCATACCACCTCCCGTGGTGTATTTCAGAGTTGCTGGGGCCTTGGATAACTTTGTTGAATTTTGGGTATGATCCACTCAAATTGTATACCGTGTAAGAAATGCACCACCTGTGGTATTGCTTTAGTCCTCTCCTGTTGTCTTTTTGATAAATGTTTGGCAAGGAGAATGAAGGTTTAACAAACTGAAGCATACACAAAGCTCTGGGAGGCTGTGGAAAACACTGGATTCCATAATTGTAGAAGCTGTTGTACCTTAGACACATAAGAATAATATTTTAGAGAGTTTTATCTTGTGGCTGAAGCTTTTCATGGATGTAGCAGCAAATGCAGATGTCTTCCCCATGTTGTTTAGTGAATGAACACGACAGGTGTTGGCCCTCAGTAAGTTCTACTCTTTTTTTGCTCTGGCAGGTTGGAGTGGAGGTGGGTCTGTGGTGAGAAACAACCATCAGCTGGAGAGGCAGTGCAGCATTGTCCATTATGTCTACCAGAACATGCTGGGAGGCTCCATTCGATCACGGCTCAGGCAGGTGAGGAGTTTCTCCTTCATGATCAGTTGGGAATCTCAGCTCCCTACAGAAAAACATCTTCAACAAAATCAGGGAAACTTTAAAGGGGCTTTACATACACCATTTATGGCTCCAAGTCTGGCACACCCTTACTTACCTTAATCCTGTAAAATGCAGGAGCTGAAATGGCTTTCCCTTTTGATTGACCCAGCCCTGCCACTCTACATTTTGTCCTCTGTTAATTCTGTGCTTCCTTGAGTTGTATTTAAACTTACCTCCTCTACCAGTTGTGTTATTACACAGTGCTACTTTTGCAGACTGATCTGTGTTGTTGCACCATTTTTCTATCCACTCTACTTGGCTAGTCATGTCAGGTTTAGTGTTCATTTCCCTCTTCACAGATACATGCCATCAAGTCCATAATGTTTTGTTGATTTTTAGAGCCATTCTCCTCCTTAATTTGAAAATTAACTTTTTGTGTAACATATGTAGGTGGGAAGCACCTGGTCTAGCTTTATTTTCCAGATGGTTTATCTATTTTAAGTATCCAAATGATGAAGGAATCACCAAGCTCATCCAAGCAGTACCTGTTCCTCAGCTGAATAACATTACAATCCTGTCACGGTTTCTCATCCCCTGTTTCATGTGTCCTGTTCACTCTTAACCCTGTGTAGTTGAGCTGCAAGCAATTTAGGTGGAGGACCATAACATTGTATCTCTGGACGATTTGTAACATTTTGGGATGCTCAGTAAAGACATAATCATAAGTGCTTTTTACTGGTGTGGAGGCATGTTTTTCTCCCTTGTTAATTATCCTGTCTTTTTAGCTCAGCCCAGGAGGCTTAGCTCCCTGTACATCATTTTAAGTGTGATACCTCTTAGTTCTTTGTTGCTTTCTGAGTGCTGTGGCTGATGTGGATTTGTGTAGTCACAGGCTGTTTCCTTTGGGGACAGCATGGGTTTTTCATTCTACAGAGAGGCTAAGAATTTTGTGTGACTGTTCTAACACCAATGGCTATTAGAAATTGTTACCACTCCTTATTCAGATAATCTCCGAGATCCCTGCAAAAGCTGTAATTCTTTTTATCTTTTCAACAGAGTCTGCAGCTGCCCTTTCTGCGTTCTCTTGCCTCTTACCGCCTCTTTCGAACAGCAAGTCCCTTTGATAGGAGAGTGACATGCCTGGAATGGCATCCAACACACCCTAGTACTCTAGCTGTTGGTTCCAAAGGTGGAGACATCATCCTTTGGGACTATGAAGTGCTTACTAAAACCTGCTTCATAAAAGGGGTAAGCCTGTGGGTGTATGGAATTGGTGGGAGGGAAAACTGGAGTACCACGAAATACTGCAGATCACAACTGAGGTCTGTTGTGAGAAGCACATGAGGGTCTCGGGCTGCAGGGTAGCCAGTCATGGCAGGACTGGGATGCAGCAGCACGTCTGTTGGGTCCCAGATTGTTCTAGCACTGGGGAGAACAGAGACGTGTTGATTAAATTCATAATGAATCGGTACTTGGTGTGTGCTCAGTAGAAAAATAATACAGCAACTGGCAAAACAGTTCTCTTAAAGAGATGCCAGAAGCAAGCAGGCAGAGAGGGTCTGTCTGTTTTATGTCTTGACTTTTCTCTGCTCACCTTTTATTCTTTGTCAGATGAGGAAATACCTTTGGGGAGAAACAAAGTCCTGTTATCTAAAGTGAGAAGATAGAATTAATGGTTTATATAGCTGGCATGTCCCCTCGTTGCTGTATTCAGCCATCCCCATTCTGACAGGGGTTCAAAGACTCTTTAACTTTTATCCCCTTTTTAAATTAACAGAGGTATATACTGTGAGGAGGTCTATCCTCCAGAAATTCCAGTCATCTTTCTCTTTTTGTAAATAGTGTGGTGCCAGCCAGCCAGGGAATACATTGCCTGGGGACTGAAGGAGTTGCAGTTTTGTCCTCCAGGACAGCTGCCTAGACAGCTATCATGTGGGAAGACATGGTTGCCTTTGTCTCCTTGAAGGGCTGTGGTGTGTTTCACTGTTGCTGTTAAGGACATAGCAGTGAATGCAGACTTGCAGAACACACTTTTCTCCTTCCCCATCACTCAGTGGATTTTTCTTCTGTTCATCCCCTTCCTTGTAGATGGGAGCTGGAGGGGCCATCACAGGAATGAAGTTTAACCCTTTTAACCCTAGTCAGCTGTACACTTCGTCAGTTGCCGGCACCACCACCCTGCAGGATTTTAATGGCAATACTGTCCGGGTCTTCACCAGCACCGAGGACTGGGAGTAAGAAATTCAGCAATGCTTGGGCTTCTGTGTCCTGCTGGCAGGAGCGCTACAGGGACCCATCACAGGAATGAAGTTTAACCCTTTTAACCCTAGTCAGCTGTACACTTCGTCAGTTGCCGGCACCACCACCCTGCAGGATTTTAATGGCAATACTGTCCGGGTCTTCACCAGCACCGAGGACTGGGAGTAAGAAATTCAGCAATGCTTGGGCTTCTGTGTCCTGCTGGCAGGAGCACTACAGGGACAGAGAGAGAGAGAGAGAGAGAGGGAGAGAGAGAGATGTTTTGTCTCTTCATACATGGGCGCTGGGCTTTCTCTTCTCCAAATACATGTCCTTTATCCTCTGCATTTCAGGGATCATCCCTCCTCCAGGGAGGCTCACTCACTTTTATTTTTCCCTGAAATGGGGTGGTGGGTAGGAGAGAGCTTTTCTTCATGAAGGGGGAGAACTCTTTGATGCTGCTTCCTGTTATAAATGGGAGAGCGTGGAGGTGCCAGTGGATTTCCTCAGTTACCTGTTGTTAAACCTCCCATAGCTCTGTGCCCTGGGGATCTTCTAGCCTCTTCACCTGTCAGCAGTGCTGCTTGTTGTTAGGTGGTTTTTACATGACAATTTATAGTCCCCTCCGTGTTTCTCCATAAATGCCACTGACTTCAAGTCAGGATCACCCCAATTCATTCCACCTAACTTCTGGCAGTTATCTAAAATACCAAAATTAGGAGTCTGGGCTCCTTCATTATGATTGGAAAGAGGAGATTAATTGCTAGGCACCACTTTGCCTGTGCTTAGAATCATCTTCCCGGCCTGTTGCATTTTTGTGGAATTACAAGGAAGCCTGAGCTCTTTAATTTGTTACTTCAGTTCAGTGCTTAAAGGTAAGTGAGGGAATTTGATTCAGCTTCCTCTTTGCTTTTCCCCACCTGATTCTTTCTGGGTGGCAGCTTTCATGGTTGGTTTCCAAACTGGGTGTTCCAGCTGCAGACTCATAATAGGGCAGAAGATGAACTCAAGCAGTGCTGGGATGGCTGGTCAGGTGAGCAAGGAGGGGTAGACTGGGTCCTGGGACATGAGGATCTTAAATCTCAGTGGGATGCCTGTCACAGCAGTGATGCCTGGGCATGCCATCTTCCTTCTGCTGCTGTGAGGACAGGCAGCCTCTATGGATGCACCTTTTGTAATTTTTCATTGGCTTCTCAACATATATTTACAGTGAGACTTTGCTCTGTTAGCAGTAGATGGGGTGCACTTGAGTATCAGAGTTTGGGGACTCCCAGCTAGCATCCTTCTTTTCTGTCTTTGTGTAGAGTTTCCACATTTCTTCAGTAGACAGCTTGTGAGGAAAACAACAAAACAACATAACATAGTAACAATATAACACAGAACATAAGATTCCTGTGCCATTGGGTTAGCAGTAGGATTTCTCCTTTCACTGCTCTCATCCTGCCTGCTGATACCTTGAGAAAGACCAGATACAGCACTGGAAGCACCTTGTAGGGAACTGGTGAATTAAGCCTCTGTAAGAAAAGCTTGGTGCAGGCTTGTCATGAGACTTTGTCGTTTCTGCATTGGATGGTGCTGGTTTTGTGTGTGATCTAAGCCTGGTCTGAGTCAGGTAGTCCACTGCAGAGTAGTCCTACCCCACAGCACAAACAGCAATACTGCTAATGATGTTTGCAGCCCAAAGTGGTGAGGTTGAAGTTAAAGGCTCAGAATGTATGTGCTCGGAGTGGAAACAGGTTAGAAAAGAGGAGTTCTGTCAAAGAGCAGTGTATTGTACCTAGGGAAGCCAGCAGTGTGTTCAGGAGAGGAGTGTTGTATTAAGATTTTGACTTCCACTTTTAACCTTCATGCCTCTTGGCTTTGTGTGTATTCCAGAAAGGGCCAGGAGATTCTCTCGGAGACATGAAGTTCAGTCCTTATGAGGCAGTGAAGCTTTATGTGGCATCAGGGGATGGCACCCTAAGTCTGCAGGACGTGGAGGGCAGAGCGGTGCAAGTCATCTCCCGTGCCCCAGACTGCGGCCATGAGTACCATAATGTTTGGTGAGAAGGGAGCACCACAGGGTTGAATCTCTGTACCTTGGGGTTAATGCTGTGCTGCTTCTTGTGCTCTCTAACATCTTCATCTTTGCCAGTAGTAGGAGGCTCCTGGTATGAATTTGTCCTGTGAGGGAGCTTGGAAACAGGCTCTTGGTTCTGACCCTAGCACTGCAGGGTGGGTAACAAGCTAGGCAGCTGCAGGGCACTTAGGCTTTTGCAGTGGCTGAACGTGCTCCTTGTATCTTCTGGTGACACCATCTCCTGTCTTGCAGATACTGACAGCTTTTCATTTCATAAAGTGTGACGTGAGAAGAGCAGGATAGCTTCCTCCTCTTCCTCGTCATCAGTGTTCTCTTCTGTCTGTAGCAACACAGGTAGCATAGGAAAGCCACAAAACATTCCTGCACAAGCTGAGTTTTGGGTTACTGAGTTTACTCTGCTGCCCTTCTGGTGGTGTCAGGCTCACCATGCCATTTTCCATTACCTTGAATTCTAGAACAATTTATTTTTGCAAGTGAAGCTTTCCCAGTAAGTTCCTGTAGGACCCCAGCTTTATTATTGCTGCCATTCCCCTCCCAGCAGAGCTGGGGTTAAGATGTATGTCTTTACCTATGTCTGTATCAGATAAGCATTCACTAATGCTTCCTGGAGCATGGAGTTGAGACAGTTTGATGTGCGACTTTACAGTCCAAAGCTTTTGTCTTGCCTTTACTGCTGCTTCAGTGTTTTGTGGAAAATGTAATTTTAAAGCTATTGCTGTACATTTGTTGATGTCAGAAGGCTGTTTTGATCTTTCCCAAGGTGTGTCTGTGGGCAGGCACCAAGTGGCTTTTCAGCCTCTGTTATGTTCTACCATCCCAGTGTGTCACACTCCATCTAATGAACCCTTCACAAATGACTAGGAAGTTACTTCATATTCAGACACTGACAGAAAGCAATGCTGATAAGCTGTCCCCCTTCCTGATGCTCAGGCCCACACCATCAGGCAGGAGATTGCAGTTACAATGTGTTGCAGTCTCCCTTGTCAGGCATGAGATGTGAAACAGACCTCCACTGCCTTCGCTTGTCTGGCAGGCAGCACTGATTTGTGTCTTTCTCTCTAGTTGCTGGTACTGCAGTGTTGATGTTTCTGCAAGCTGCCGTGCTGTGGTCACAGGTGACAATATAGGCAACGTGGTCCTGCTCAGCACTTCTGGTGAAGAGGTTTGTATGGCTCCATGTGGCATTTCGTCTGTGGGAACCTTTGTGGCTCGTGCTTTCCTACATTACAGGGATCCTGAAAAGAGGAGCAAGTACCTTGTAGCTCAGGACATGAGCCCACTCACTGTCTAGGTGATGAGAAGTCCTACACTTCTGCCATTCATTAGACGTTTTGACATTGTTGAGTGTAATGGTAGCAGTTCCCAAACAGGGACTGTGCCATGTGCTACCACTTGCTTGAGCATTTTTGCTGCTGGCCAGAGTAGTTACCAGGTAACCTGAAGATGCGAGCACCCTCTGCCAACAACCTTCAAGCTTCCAGAAACTTAGTGCACTGATGGGAGTCATTTAGAAAATACTTCTTTGATGTATATCCTTCCATGACCTTGGAGTAGGTACTGAACTGTAATTCAGCCAGTGTTGGGACAGAAATTGCACTACTGCCATTAGACACGGGAGGGCAGGCAGAGGCAGACTGTGCCTTTGCCTCTGAAGTAGTGCAGGCACGTACTAGAGAATAGTTGGAGTGGGCCCTGCTTTCCAGAGCCTGTGCTCTAGCGTCACACTGGAATTACCATTTCTCCTGCCTGTAAGAGTAACATCTTTAAGACTTTGCCACCCAACGAGCTGCGGCTGGAGGCAGCTGTGTAAATTAGTGGGCAGAGTCAGGAGTGCTCCAAATGATACGTGCTTATTCAAGGTTAGCTGCTTCCTTTCCTTTTTTTCCTCTTGAAAGTGCATGACAGTCTTTTCTGCACTTGGAAAATACCCATTATTGTAGGGAGGACAGGCCAGCTTCACCCTTTTGATTAGAAGTAGTCTTTAAGCATCAGATACAATTTTTTTCATGGGCAGTTTATATCCAGATTTTCTTGTTAACTGAAATATTTCTCCTACCCTCATGTTTTTTTTGATGTATTTCTAGAAGACAATTATATCTCCTCTTACTTTTTTTAACTAAGATGATGCAAAGTCTTTTTGTCTTCTCCCACAAAGCAGGCCTTTCATTATTCCTTGGCTGCACATTTTCTGTACCTATTCCAGTTTGGTTTAATTTTTCTGCAGATGGAAATGCTGGCACTGCATAAAGTATTCCAGATGTGATCTTGCTTTTTCCTATGGCACTAGTGCTTCCCTCCATGAACCCAGAATTGCATTTTCCTGTTTCATGGCTGTAATAAATTCGTAGATCAGAGTTCTAGAATTAAACAGTTCATTTTCAAGGTCATTCTTCTCCTTTTTTGTTTCCAGTGGATAAACTCTTGGTGTATTTTAGAAATGTTATTACTCTGTAAATCTGCAACCTCTTTACTCTGCACTAGTAAATTATTATTTCCTTACTCCAGATCATGATTTTTATTTTTTTTTTCTCTGTGATCTTCTGTTTGCTGCAGATTTGGAAGCTGAAGTTGCACAAGAAGAAAGTGACTCATGTGGAGTTTAACTCTCGATGTGAGTGGTTGTTGGCCACAGCATCTGTGGATCAGACAGTCAAAATCTGGGACCTCAGAAACATCAAAAACAAAACAAATTTTCTTCATGTGCTTCCTCATGACAAACCTGTCAATGCAGGTGAGTTGCGATAAGACTTTCTTTGCATGGATGTCTGCAGAGAGTCCACTCAGCTCAGCTTTTATTGTTGTGGTAACATTAGCTTTTGCTCTGATTCAAAGTTGCACAGTAGCTAGAGTTTAAAGTAAGGAAGACAGTGGGAATGTGTGGCCAGAGGCAGGGAGGTGGACAAGGCAGCTGCAGCACACTCTTAGACTTACTGTACAAACTTGCACTGTGCCTTGAGAGGTGAGTATGGAAGCATCAGCAGTGGCTGAGATTAGAAAAGTGAAATTACTGGTGCAGTTTTTTTGACAAAAGCAAAGCATAAGACTCAAAGCTTTGTTTCTCGTGTGCAGTTTTACCAGTTCATGGGAGTCCAAACTGTGGACGTCTGTCTCCAGCTTTTCCACTAGCTTTACAGGTGAACCAGCAAGTTCCTTTCTTTGTAATGGCTCTTTCTGTGATTCTAAAATGAGAAATTAAGTCTTGCTATGTAACTCTGTGCTCTCAGTTTCAGCTTTACTGTCTGTTAGAGCATTGAGTTTGTTTGGGTCAGGTGAAGTCTTGTCTGTTGGGACACATGGCCATATTCACATCCCTATTAAAGAAACAGCTATGGGTTTCCAGTCAGAGAAATGTGACTTTTATGTTTCTTGCCAGTTACAGCATTGTGATCTTTTGTTTACCTTACTGTCCCCCTCTCCTAGCTTACTTCAGCCCAACAGATGGTGCCAAGCTCCTGAGCACAGACCAGCGTAGTGAAATCAGGGTTTACTCATCCTCAGACTGGTCCAAGCCACAGCATCTGATCCCACATCCACATCGGCAGTTTCAGCACCTCACACCTATTAAGGTGAGTTAAGCCAGTGCAGTCTGAGAGGAGCATCTCCTTGATCCTGATTCCTGCTACATTGCTGGCTGGATGTCCACACTGCTGCAACTCCCAGCAGAGCACTGTTCTGAGGATGCCCGTCTTCCTTAGGTTGCGGGTGTGATGTACAAACTGCTGCTCACACTGCTGGTTTTCTGGTGTGTGTCAGTATGAGCCCAGACCCTTTCTCTGAACTCCCCCCTGTTCTGCTCTGTCACCAGGCAACCTGGCACCCCCGCTACGACCTGATTGTAGCGGGACGCTACCCAGACCCCAAGTTCCCAGGGTACACGGTGAACGAGCTGCGAACTATTGATGTATTCGATGGCAACACCGGGGAGATGGTTTGTCAACTCCATGATCCAAATGCTTCTGGTATCATCTCGGTGAGTTGAGCTCTGCAGCTAAAAGGACCACTGTGTGCAGAACCACAGCTGAAAGATACGGGTCAGGGCCTAGAACAATAGGAGCATCCTCTTCACTTGTGACAGACTCACGCTGTCCTGGGGTAGGGCTGCCAGCTAAAGCTGCTGACTTGAGCAGAGTTGGGCCATGGTCATCTGTGGGTTTTCTCTGATACTTGTTAGGTAACATTGGGTTTTCCAGATGGTTGGTTGTTGTTACATAAGCTGTGGTGCTTTATGACTGTGTTACATAAACAGTGGTGCTCTTACAGACTCTGATTCTGTTTCCATTTTCAGCTCAATAAATTTAACCCCATGGGAGACACGCTGGCTTCTGGCATGGGTGAGTAAAAAGAACCTGGGGCACAAATGGCAGGTGGGTTCCAGTCCTAGAAAAGGGTAGGCTTCTTTCTCCAGACAAAAGCAAGTTGTCAGTGAAGGTTTCCCAAACCCCACTTGCTAGTAGTGCTCTGTAATTTCCTACATCTGTAAAAGATCAAGACCTTCTTTCCAATTTTCCATCTTTTCAGTTAAAAAACAGGTTGCTAGTCATCTCCAGTGAAACATTCCTGAGAGCAGGGAGTCTGGAGGACCGAGAAGCCTCCCCACAGCAGGGAGCTGCTGCCATCTGCTGCCCACGTAACAGGAGCAGGAAACATTGGGGGGGCGAGGGGAAGCCTTTTCCTGCTAGGCTGTGCCCTCTCCCTTTGTTTCATTGATCTCATTTCCTAGGCTGCAGAGCACGGATTACTCAGTTTTTCACAGGCTGTATGGGATTAAGGGAGCTGGCTATAGATTTAGGTCTTAGACTTGTAACAGATGAGTTTGGGAATTACTTGATTATGTTTCTTAATTAGTCCAAATTTCCATGGTTGCTTGGAGGTAGCATCTGCAATAAATCTTTGCATCCTCTGTCCTTGGAAGTATCTTAGAACAAACAAACCATTTTGCATTTCTGGTATTTTAGGAACATGGCCTAAAGTATTATATCTGATGTAGACTTTCTGATGCATGCTGTTCAATTTTTCTCCTCAGGCTTTAATATTCTGATCTGGAGCCGGGAGGAGATGGTGGCCAAGAAGCAAGAACATCTTTTAAAAGCCATGGCAGTACAGGGGCTTGGAAGCTGGAGTTTGTCCAGACGTGGAGGGCAGAGGCCAGCAAACCCTGGGACAAGTAAACTCAAAGCTAAATTACTGTCTCGAAGCTAAATTACTGTCTTGGGAGCTGAAGGAGATAGGAACAAAAAAGCAATGATTCTAAATCACAGGGAAGGAAGCAAAAAGGGGGGAATCTAGAGAATGGATTTAGTATTTTGGTCCTTTCTGGATCACAGGGTAAAAATTCAGTTGGCAATGGGCAGTATAAGCTGTGCAGGGCGTTAGCCTTCTACTTTGTCCTTTCTCCCTGGACCTGATCTTGCTTTCCTGATTCCCCTTGCTTCCCCTTCTAGAAATTTGTGTCAGTACTCGGTTCCTCCTCCAAGTGGAGTTACCACACATTTTCTGAGGCACTAGAAAAACTTCAAAGATATTCTCAGATCCTGCTGA